TATTAGTATCACAGTCCTTTACCCACATTCAGTGATAGTTCAGCGCACACACCCCTCCCCCATATACAGGTAATGGACCCTGCACAGCACCTGACACGTGACAGCCGGGCATGACGTCACCCTTGCAGGCACACAGGTTAGATACCACACCTGTGCCACCTGACGGCGCCCCTCCTACCCAACCCGCTCGACCCCACACAGGACCCCCTCTCCCCGCACTCACCATCTTGCTGCCTGTTCCCTGAGCCGCCTCTCCCCGTCAGACGGCCCGCTCTCAGGCCTCGGTCCCCGGACTCTCGTGTTTCCCGTGTCCGGACCCGGCACCTCCTCCCCCAGCCTCACCCCGCAGGGAGGGGGAGCTAGAAGGCACCGCTGCGCATGCGCCGGTCCTCGGATCCTCTCACTGCGCAGGCGCACATCCTCCGGTCTCCGCTCTGCGCAGACGCCGGATACAGGCGGCTGGCCTCAGGTCGCCAATGTGCGCATGTGCGAGGTGTTTCTACGTGGGCCTGTAAGGTCCAAACTAGCCGCTGTCCGGAGGGTGGAGCTGAAGGCTTGTTTGTAGCTATGACAACGGCTGGAACTTCTTTTACCAGTAGGCGGAGTTTTGTCTGTAGGGACGTGTCATTGCATTAGGTCACGCCCCTAATATGTGTGGACGGAGAAAGAAGGCCGCCATCATGTTGGTGGGTAGACGTACCTCTTAAAGGAGACGTAGTCAAAAAACATGAAGCCTGTTGCCTTTTTGAGAATGCAAGCTGCCTGACTGTGTTGAAGGTCCAAAGGCAAAACTGCAGTCAAAAACAACAAAGTTATAAATGACAATAAAATAACAAAATCATTTTTTTTTGCTGCAATATTCACATTTAAACCAGAGATATCCCTGCAGTACTTATTGCTCTGCCACTAGATGTCCTCAGTCTGAGTCCAGACTGCCGTGGATCCACTGGCAGCCTGTGACTGTACAGTGAAATGAGAAGCAGCACTGGATGAGCTCATCTCTCTGTCACTCGGCTCTCTTCTCCTATCAGCATGCTTCTTGTCAGCCCATGAACTGATTGCTTGTGCTGTTTCTCACACTAAAGCCCTGCTGCCTAGGGACTGCAAGAGGCTGATAACCCAGGCGGAGGTTCAGCAGCATGGCAAAGTAGTGGTGTGGATAGTGCGTTACAGTGACTATTGAACCATATTGGTGTGATAGATGCAGAAAGAGACGAGACACGTTTCCTTGTTATTAAGTCCCTTCCTGTTTTGTACTTTTAACCTTCCTATGCTCACATTTGCATAGGCTACACTCATTGGCACTGCACCTTGGATATAATAATCGAGCATGTAACAATATCTTGTCATGACTTCCTTTCTTGCTCCTTTGTACTTGTATACCTGCAATAAAGAACTATAAATCAGGGCAGGGCAAATCCCAGGAGCCGGGTCGCCAATGCACCTTACAGCTGGCACCTAACCCTTGAGGTTTTTGTCAATGGAGCTGGCCCCTGACTTGGACTGACTGGCTCCTGAATTCCATATTGATTTGGCCACCCCTGCTATAAATGATTGGCACATCCCATAATGGCTTGGCTGTGAACTCGGTGGCTGGTACATGGGTGGCTATAGAAGACTTCACAGCACATCAGGTGACTTCCAGGAGACTTGACATGTCCGTTCTTGTAGGTCAATGAGTCAGAAAGGTGAAAGCCCCAAATCCAGTTTGGACATTCAAGCAAGAAGTGGCAGTGGGGAAAAGATATCAAGAGGCAGCTCTGGTTCCTATACTCACTTCCTGTCTGCCGCTGTCCACCATAGAGGCACCATTCCGGCTCCTGGCCACCGATTGTCTGCCTCCGGCCTGGACTTGCAGAAAGTAATGCAGCATCTAGGATCCACGTTCCATATGTAGCCCCTTCTCCCTAAGTGGAGTGGTGCTTTAAATTTAGTATTACTGGAACTGTAACCAGCGTGGCTGATTTGTAGTCTGTGATCATTTGGCCATTTCTCGGTGATCTGCTGTTGTGTCCACCTACCTGTACCAGCATGTGACCCGGCCACAGAGTGGGGCAATCAATGAGAGAACATTGGGAGCGTGTATCTCTCTTCAGCCAATCACTAGCAGTTTCATGGCCAGTGGTGCATGCTGGGGAAGTGCATAAATATTCAGAAATCGCCATGTGCTCAGGGCAGTCTGCCCCTGGCCCTAGCCTGGGAGGTAGGATGTACAAGGTTGGAGAAGCTGACTAGGCCTGAAGTCTGCAGGAGGCCAGATGTGGACCCAGGTGGGGCTTGGAACTGTTTGGGAAGGAGCCCTGTGACAGCTGGAGGTGCCAGAAAGGCTAAGATGACATGGACCTCAGAAACAAGTCTGGTGTCTCTCCCAGGTAAGATCTCAAGAACGTCTTCTGTCCAGTTGTGGCTCTATTACACACTGTCATCCTACGCTCAACTAAAGTATTCCTGCACTGTGGAAGCTGGAGGGGATTGGTGAGTCTGGAGACTATTCTTGTCCATGGATGAGTGTAGCCCTATACCCTCTCTCCTAGTTTTGGCTGTTCTACAATAAAGCATCGGAAAAGTCCTTAAAGTGGCTAGTGACATCCCACATCCTGGCTAAGGATACACCCCACAGATGTCAGCCCTCCCTGCCTCTGGGGTTCACCACTTGCCTTTGGGGGTAAGGAGGGAGCTACACATGTAAATGTCCTACCAACATGGGGCTCTGGGTCGAAGAATGTATATAGCATTGTGTTCTTCAAATTGTTCATCTTACATTTACTATCTGTATGGGGGCACATGACTGCACCAGTAGCCTCCTGATTTCTGAAGTACAAGTTTCCGGAAAAGAAGACCTGAAGATTTACAATGTTATAGGGAACATCTAGAGATGATAATTGTGCCTTATCAGTACCCTTAAAAATGATCAGAGGACTTCCTGGTATATGAGGATGCCTACGTAGTCCCGTGTCTGGAACCTCAAAGCTTTATACTGTATATGTAGTGTGAGGTCATCTATGGCACTGCTGACTCTGACTGCTGGTCTCACCAGATTTGGAGTGAGATTTGGTGATTGCACCACAGTGCTGTTCACTGTTCTCCTTGCTGGAGAGGAAGCTGCACCTGAGGACCTACAGTGCAAGGATCCCCCTGCTTTTGCATCATCTGTTCGGTAGACCTGTGCTTCCTCCACCTCTTCTGATGCTTCTTGACCATTACTTTACCAGTCATCAAAGACCCAGTCATGATATGAAGAAAGCCATGCTCCCCTACCAAGATGGCCACCTTCAACAGAGACACAGTGTGCAGAACAAGGCATGGTAAGTCAGTAATGACACTAAAAAGGTCAGCTGCAGGGAAACAACAGGCAATACTAGTCCTTTGTTCTCAGATTGCAGAGTTTAGTCCTGGGGAAGGAGTTGGCGGTGGCGCTACTACTCTTGAGTTAAGTTTAGACCTCCAAGTGGCTTAGCAAGCTTACATCTCCAAATGCCCCATTCTCTGTACTTTTCTGTAGCTCTTAGGCACACCCACTTTCAGGGCAGGATTCTTGGATTGTATTGGGTTCAATAAGTAGGACACCAGTCATTTTAGTAGGTTTTGTATTTTTATTGCTGAGAATCCCTAGTAGAGATGCCTAGGGAAACAGAATACCCAATAAAAGGAGACAGTAGCTTCTTGCATACACAGATAGCAGGAAACTATGCTGGCAGGTTCCTCCAAACATGTATCATCTCCTTTCAGCTCACACCGCTGATCTGACACTTCAGTCATTGACTGGGGTGGATAAATAGTTCAGTCACTGGTTCCTCCTACTCTGACTAATGGAGCCTCCTGAACATTAGAAGGCAGAAGCAATCAATATTCTGAGCTTAGGAACATCTGCGGAACACAGGAGAGGTAACAAAGCTCAGGCTGGCTACAACCTAGCTGCATAAAACCCAAAATAAACCTTCAGTTTAAATCAGCTAAACCCATTCCAGGTGCATCATAACAATAGGTGTCCAAAGTATTACAGGTTACTTTCTTTCTAAAGCAGCCACAGCCCGAGTAGAAAAGGCTGTCCCCTGACAATGTGCTGCAGAGGAGGACCCTTGTTTTCAGTGTGCTGCCCACATAGCCTCATTGGTTGACTGGCGGCTGAGCTGTACAGCATCATTGTTTGCTAAGACACTGGTGGACGCACAGGGTCGTTGGTTTTCATGGTGTACTTGCCAGCTTCCTAGCAACCCATGACACTGTGCAGTTCAGCCGCTAGCGTCCTAGCAACCAATAACTGTAGGGGTCGCCCACTGGCATGGGTTGCTAGGACACAAGCAGTCCAGGGTTCGGTTGGCTTGGACATTCACCAGAACAAATTTTTGGTCCCCGTTTTTTTGTGCTGCTTAGAGCCCAATTGAAATTTCAGTTTACATTCGGTAAATACAATCCATTTGTATCAAAATATAAGGTGTTAAATGTCTTACAGCTTGTTTCTTTCAGCCACAGCCTGAGTCGAAAAGCCCCGTTCCCTGCCAGCATGCTGTGTAGTGGTAACCTTGCCCTCTGTGTAGAAGCAGTGGTCTGTCTGCATGTCCCCCTACTAAGTCAAAGCCATCCAATCAGCGGGGAGCATGAACTTTGCTCATTGGCAAAGTTCATGCTGCATTGAAGCATTGGCATAGGTCTGGCTTACCAGGTGGCATGTTGGCCTTTTGCAATGTGACCTATGCTTCTCCACAGAGAGCAAAGGTCCTTCTCTGTAGCATGCCGGCAGGGGACAGACTTTTCTACTCAGGCTGTGGCTGCTTTAGAACCTTTTGTTCCTATGCACCTGGAATGTACTTAGCTGATTTAAACCCTGGGTTTAGTGGGCTTTCAGGGCCCATCCATGCACGTTACCGCAGCACCCTAGGTGTGGAAGGGACCCCACAAGATTACAACATTGCGTTCATAACTCCCAAGGTACTTGTGCAATTGTTTATTAATCTATTTCCTTTCCATCAGTTATAAGACAAGTCACATACAGGCCGGGGTAAAATATAAATAAATAGATTTATTAAATATACAAACAGTATAAAAACTTCATATTCAGCAATAGAAATCTCAATATCAATATAATCTTTTCTTCTGCGAATAGCTCGCAACTTCACACACTCCGTACAGCGCTTTCATACTGCATTTCACGCATTCACACTACCCGTGGATCCCCATTCCCCCCTTAGTAGTCCTTCGAGCTTCCCCGAAGCAAAAATTCTCAAATGTAGTGAGTTTTTGTTTTTTATGCCGTTGCTGGTCAAAAGGTGGAGGTGAGGTACTGAATCTCTTCACTAGATGGCGCTAGACTCATGGCTCCATGACTTGTCCCATGAACAGCAGTGTGCCTAAGAGAAAGAACAAGGACATTGTAACTCAATATGATTACGTAATAAAGTACAATATGTATTTTGCATACACTGTATCACTACAATATATATATCCAGGTCTGCACATCTGCTATGGTATTTGCAAGAGGGTCATACATTCCCCATTTATTTTGCATTACAGATAATAGCTGGAAAAAAAACAAAGTTAGTTTGGAACACCCAAAGCTATAAAGTTGGAACGTACTACTCATAAATGATGTGAAAATCTCAAACACACCCTACCTACATCTAAAATATCACCTTGAGAGAACTGGCCCTTTATGCCCCATTCGCACCAAGTGTGTTGTCATCCGTTCTTCAGTATATATTTTTTTACTCATATATGACTGCCAGTACCAGGTCTGCACATCTTCTATGGCAATTGCAAGAGGGTCGTACCTTCCCTGTTGAACTATTCATTTATTTAGCATTACAGATAATAGGCGGAAAAACCAAAAGCTAGTTTGGAACACCCAAAACTGTAAAGTTGGATCGTACTACTCAAAAATGTTACGAAAATATCTCTAACCCATCCCACCTACATCTGAAATACTGCTTGGGAGAACTGGCCCCTTTCGGCCCTATTCCCACCAGGTGCGTTGGCATCACTTCTTCAGTATATAGTTTTTATTTATATGACTGCCAGTATCAGGTCTGCAAGTCTGCCACACACATTTGGAAGCGGGTCATACCTTCCCTGTTGAACTATTCATTTATTTTGCATTACAGGAAATAGGCTGAAAAACCCAAAGCTAGTTCGGAACACCCAAAGCTATAAATTTGGATCGTACTACTCAAAAACGTTACCAAAATATCTCTAACACATCCCACCTACATCTGAAATACTGCCTTGGGAGAACTGGCCCGTTTCGGCCCCATTCCTCATTATTGGGCCGAGGAGGGCGGCTTGCGGCGGTGTCCAGTTGATTATCTCTGAACCGCGGCGCTAGGCGTTTGCGTACCGCGGCACCAGCGGAGCAGCCGCCCCGACGGAGGGTGCCGCCCTAGGCAAACGCCTAGTTTGCCTCGCGGTAAATATGCCCCTGCATTTGCAAGAGAATCGTACATTCCCTGTTGAACCCTTCATTTATTTTGCATTACAGATCATGACTGGAAAAAAACGGAAGCTAGTTTGGAACAGCCAAAGCTACAAGGTAAGATCGTACCACCCAAAAGATATGAAAATCTCGAACGCACCGCGCCTACATCTGAAATATCACCTTGGGACAACTGGCCCTTTGGGACCCATTCATGCCAGAGAAATGGATGCCACCGAAAAACAGATGCCGACTCAAGGGCATCTATAAATGAATGGGTGTGAATGGGAGCAGTTCACACCAGTGTGTTGCATTGATGTGAGCTGCCCTGTGCTGAAAAAAAAAGTAGAGCAGGCTCCACTATTTTTTTTTTAAATGCATGGCAATGCAACAGACATCAATGCAAGGCAGAACCAATACCTTATATACTGACTGTAGCTTAGTGTAAACATCAAACCAAACAAATGCAAGGCATGTCAATGTACTATGCCCACACAAGTAAATGCACTTGCGACAACTCACATCCAACGCACACTTTTCTGTGGGAATACACCCTTAAAGCGGAACTCTTAGTAGATATAATTCATTATCATATAATCTAGGTACTTGATCATAAATCAAGTACGTAGATCGGGCTTGGTATCAGCCTTGTGTAATCCACTGTACAGAAGAGTTCAGACTGGAAGAGTGAGAAGTACAAAGAGCCGGTCAACTGTGCTCATCTGCTAACAAGAAGATAGGAGGAGAGAACATAGAGATGAACTCGTCACTCTTCTGCTTCTCTTTTCACTGTCCAGCCACAGAGGAAAAATCAGGTCCCCTGCCATGCCAAACAGGGCTCTGCTGTGTGGCGAAGCTGCAAAAATCGCAGAACTGAATGGACAGAAATACAAATCCTTTGGCAGGTCCCTATCAGGTATTTATTCTGTGTACTTAGCTGGTTGCCTAGAGTTCAGCTTTAAAAATGAGGACTGCTGTAGCTGTTGTAGCTCATGCAGCTTACAGTAATATGGGAATGATGGCAAGCCTCACCTGTTGGGTTGTGCCGAATGAGGAACAGGAAAGGATGGTCCATGATGACTTCAAGAGGAGCCATACGAGCCAGGAGAACCACAGCTGTGGGAAGATTGACATATTGTTAACCATAACTGCACAGTCCTACTCAGGCAAATACATCGAGAAGCTCAGTTCTGTCTATTAGCTGGTGCAGGCCATCATGCAGCTCCCCCATGTGCTCCAAGATGGAGACTCTCATAGTTTAGAGTTAGGACCGCACTATAAGAGGTGCCTTGGCGCGGCAGTGCGGCTTACACATCCTTTGCAGAAGACGTGTATCCAAACCTCTGTCATTGTCCTTAGTGGTGAGACAAGTTGTTTTACATGCTGGTTTGTGAGTGTGCCATGATGCCTTTCTACTGTAACATCATGCAGCTTTATGACGAGCCCATCACAGCCTGCTCTGGTACAACTCTCATCCTGCTTCTTAAACTGTGCACGGGGATCTTTATTTACTTATAGCCACATAGATCTGTTGACTTTGCAACTATTGTCTAGTATCTCTGTAACTTTACTTCATTCAAGCCCTGATGAAGGGGACGTTTTATGCCTCCAAAACACGTTGGCTTTTTGATCTCTTGTCATAAAGAATAAGATCTTACTGGACTCATTCAAGTTCTTGTGGCACTCTCACCCTTTTAATGTACTCTAGATTCTTCCAGGGATACTCCAGTTGACAGAGCTGCCTCCAAATGTTAGATACACATATCTATCTATCTTGGGGTCCATCACTCTACCAACACATATCCTGTTAAATTTCAGTATGATTAATGGAATTAAAGAATGTTGTCACATGATCCTCTCCTGTGCAACCTCCCTCTCTGGGCATATAGAGGCATACGCTAGGAACACTATGTCTGCATTTTCATAGGTTCAGATTCATGGCCTTAGTGGCAATATGAAGCTGGTCACACCCCTTGCAATCAGCAAACTTACAAACTCTACGCAATTTCCATCTTTCTACAATGAGAGCCTGCCTCAACATTCCACTCAATGTACGTTCAGCTAGATAGGCCCTAATACTAGCTGGTGACTCTAGTGAAGACCATGGCCTCATCTGGTACTGAAGACTTGACCTCTTACCTGTAGCAGCTGCAGCTCTGGTTCCACTTTCCGTCACTTCGACTTTGATTTTCTGGAATGCTTCTGACACATACAATGGCCTTTCATCTTCAAGGGGAACAACAATCAGTTTGGGACATTAGAAAATGAAGCGTTTTCATAACCCAACCCTCCTCAGAAGCCACTTTGCTCTGCTCTTCCCCATTGGCTCATTTGGTTATTACTTACTTGACAATTGGCTGAAGTCGGCTTTTTCCTCTGAGAACATGTCTTCAATGCCGAGGTTCTCAAGAGGGGTCTTCAGATTGACTTCGCTGACCAGGGAAAACCTAAGGACAAGAGAGATTATTCATATCATGTTCAGAAGGGACTTTTAAAGGAAAGTAATAGTGAAACAAGTCTATGCCTACTTCCCAAATGGTAATTGCAGGCTGCCTCCGGGTTCAGCACTCCTGGACCCAGATCATGCATGAGGATTACAATGTTAAAGTGAAGTCAAAACTCCTGATCTGCATACAACCAGGTAATTAGCAGTTACAGAAGAAGTCTGTGGTGCCTCCCTCTGTAGGATTACTTTAAAGGTCTCTGGTCTCAACTCTGTAGTTTCTAATAGCAGAGATGTATTGATCTCCATCTACAACCAACTATAAATCTCCTTTCAGTTTTTTAAAGGTGAGAGGGGTATCCATATGTAGATTAGTTGGTCTCCCAGTCCAGACACCCATTAAAGGGAATTAATCAATACTGGAGCAGACAAAATCTGGAGCAGCAGTGCATGGCTGGTGTGTGGCTCATAACTGACTCTTGGTGGGTTATGTCTGTGCCCATCTTCTACAATGACAGATGGGAGGAGGTGTGGCTCATAACGAACTGTAGGGATTCGGATGTTTCAATGTTTGGTGGATAATGGAGATTTAATCCTCCTCTACCTCTTGAGCACAGTGTTGGTGAGATCTCTGAGATCCTGAATCTGTACACCTGGTGTGGCCATTATGTGGGGCTCCTTCTCTCCCTGCTGAAATAAAATGTCAATTCTGGGTAAACTGACCTGTATATGGCTGTTGGAGGCACGAGGACCCCATAAAGTGTTTATTTTTTCCTGAAACTGCACTAGGTTCAGTTTACATGGAACTTATGCTTTGTGACATTCTATTTTTAAAGAGCCACTCCAACCAAAACAGATTACTCCATTGCACATAGAACTTAACAAGGTTCTTCCCCCCTATGTATCCCTAATGATGTTCCAAGGGAAGCTTAGCTTGGTGACATAAGTAGATTGGCTGAAATATTGAGTTCAGCATGTCATAGGCTTGTTGTAATTTAAGAAAGCTCCCCATTGTGACCCTTCTGGATTGACGTTGAAACTCTGTCTGTTTGAGCCCTGCTGCACCAAATATCTGTTTTAAATAAAGATTCTGTTTGGAGACATGTGATTATACTTACTTAGGCAAAACAAGGAGACGGGTTGATTTCTGCATATTGGCTTTCCATTGGTTGATGAGCTCTGGAGTCAGGATGTCTGTGATGGCGGACAGTGGTACATTTTTCTCATAAGGTGCGGCTATCAGCATGCTGAGCTCTCCTCCTTCATAGGGCAGCTCGATGACATCATAGTACTCTCCGTCTGGAGTTTCAAACTCACCTAAGAGACAAGAGAATTAATTATACTGTTTTATTGACCCCTGCCTGGTAATATCTGCTGTAATGCATTACAAATGCAATGGAAATTTCATGTAGAACGATACTTACTGCAGTTGTACTTGCCGGTATTGGCCATCATTTGGGTTTGGACCTCAGACCCGTCGGAACGGTAGAATGGCCTGCTGTGGGTGGCCTTCTCTGGAAACGGGAGGACCCATTTTCCGTTGAAACTGACAGCGTTGAGTAAGACCAGTCGGGTCAGTGGTGGAATAGTCTTGCTTCCCAATAAGTCCTTGATCATTCCTACAATATGAGTAGACGTTGGTCAGCGGGAAGAAATGATAAACTACGGTAGGGAAACCTAATACAACAGGGTCATTAATGAATCTGACGTTGTTCTCGTGGTATAGAAGTGTCCAATCTGCCATCTGCCATCTTGTATGGTTTACCTTTATATAAATGAAGGAGATCACAAACCAGGACCTGTTTGTTATTGCCTTGGAAAGATGCTGCTGTTATCTGATTGGCTTTGCTCTACTTGTTCTCCAACATTTGGGCGGTGTGAGTTAACCTGAAGGTCTTTAAAGGTCTCTGATCTCAACTCTAGGTCTAAAATATTAGAGTGAAGTCAAAGCTCCTGATCTGCATGCAACCATGTAATTAGCAGTTACAGAAGAAGAAGTATGTGGTGCCTCCCTCTGTAGGATTACTTTAAAGGTCTCTGGTCTTAACCCTGTAGTTTCTAATAGCAGAGTTGTCTTGATCTCCTTCCACAACCTACTAAAAATCTTGTTTCAGTTTTTTGTGAGAGGGCTATCCATATGCAGATTAGTTGGTCTCCCAGTCCAGGCATACACTGTGTATTGGTGGGTTATGCCCTTCTTCTACAATGACTGATATTTCACAGTAAGCCAAAACTTTAATTGATTAATGTTCTTTGGGAGTCACTCGGTATGGAGATGTTTGTGTCAAGTCATTGACTCCCCTATTACTGAAGCATAAGAATGGCAACCCTGAAGCCCATTTGCACCTTCAAAAGAAGTCAGTAAGGTGAATCTGTGCTTTGCCCATGCAGTATGCTTTTTTTCCCCATCCCTTGCAGCTCCGTTCAGCTGCTAGGAGTGAATGGAAAGTCCGGTATAAGCTATGAGTTGCCAAAGTTGTAGCTCACATAGGGCTAAGGACTCCCCATGTGTTTGGCCCAGTGTCACATGGATTAAGTCACATGTTCCTCCATACATGGCCACAGCAGGTATTGTTGAACAGAGTGGTAGGGGAACAAAGGAAGAGTAAATTATATTGTGGGGCATATAAGGCATACATGCTAGTTTGCACTGAACAGGTAAAGCACAGGTTACAACCATGAATGGGTCCATGGTGTGCCATTCATCTTACATCCCCTTGAAGGTACATAGCAAACACAGTCATTTTGGCTCTATGGTATTGTTGGAAAGTGTTAGAATACACATTATTGTGTCTATGGCAATAACTCCTGCAGTATACAGTTTCGGTCACTAGATGGCAGTGTTTATAAGTTCTGTTATACAGTATCTATGGTATATACTCTGTTGTATTGAATAAGGTAGAGAATAAAGCTGTGGCTTCCTTCCTGTTTTAGCCAAGCAATGAGCAGCATGCATATCTGACTGTGTGCTTGTGTTTCTCTGTGCAGCTGTGCAAGAAGTTTCAACAGAAAGCAGCGCTCTAAAGGCTGGAATAACTCTCTAAATAAGTCCACAGCCAAATATAAAATTTCCTAAATATACGAAACCCCAGACTCCTTCCATTCCCTTCTCACCATCAGTTTGGTTCTCCACCCATTGGTTCAAGATGTCCTTAGCTTGCGTTGGGTCAGCAAAATTGATCTGGGCGACATGGCGCTTGAAGGTAGCATGGAATCTTCTCAGGAACCCTGGAGTCAGGTCAAGGTCCCGTTGTACGAACAGTCCATCAGCTACATTCACCCTTGTGGCGTGTTCACCGGAGACGTTGGAGTGGTTGAGCTGATGGCGGATTTTGCGGAGAGCTCTAGACACCGTCCTTTCTACAAGAAGAAGGATATGAGAGTAAGTGGAAGTTATAGTTCCAGGTAATGCCAAGACATGAATCTCTGACTTGATTGGGAGGAGCCTGTGTAGTGGAAGGTCAATGAGGAGGGAGTTACAATAGTCAAGACGAGAGATAACAAAGGAGTGGATGAGTAATTTGGCGGTTTCATTGGTGAGGAAGGGGCGTATTTTAGAGATGTTACGAAGGTGACATGATCATGATTTATTTCCTCTTTTTTTTACAATGTTCTTTGTATTTACATGATATCAATCTCTGCTAACAATCGAAAGTCCCTAATACAGTCACAAACACGTTTTAGGACAAGTTTAAACAGAAAAGTTAGTCATAGTTAAGCTTTAGTCCCCCTTCATTGTGATGCTACTGTGCTGGAAATCCTGTGACAGGTGAGAGAGGAAGAACACAGCTCTCCCCTCTCACTGTCTAAAGTCTACACAGAGCGGCAGGGTTATCTTTAACCCTGCCGCTCTGCTCACTGCAGTCAGAGGCTCGAGACTCGGCGGCGGAGGTCGGAACCAAAGGCGAGAGGTAAGGGGGGAGGGGAGGAGGCTGCACACTGTTTACATGTGAAATCGCTGCCTCACTCTACATTTAGTCCTGCTTGTACAAAGCAGGACTGAATTTAGAGAGGGCAACTTCCCCACAAGGACACCGCTGCTCCCCCTCTGCGCCCTGCCGCCCCGAGGCCAGGCCTCAGTGGCCTTGTGGGGAATCCGGGCCTGAGCATAACATTAAGATAGGATCAAGTTGGGGGTTGGCGAGGACACAAATTAGCACGAATGGATGGTGACTTTGTCTCAGGTTTGTGCCCAATACAAATCCAAAAAGACACTGCGTTCTCTTATGTGGGCAATTGATGCTTCCACAGTCCTGTCCTTCCCAGGAGCTGCCCGATATGGCCGTGCACGCAGCACGGAGCTGTACGTGCCGGCCGTTTCTCGTGTGAATGAGGCCTAAAAGCATGCAAAATCTCGTGGCACCCCAGACTAACATGTAAAAAACCTAAAGGCAAATAATAAAACCAATGTGTGACCCCCCTAAAATTTATACCAAACCCCTATCAGAGAAATTGGACCCCCAGATAGGGGTCTGGGATAGATTTTAAGGGGGAACCGCATAACAAAAACACAAAAAGTTGGTTCCTCCTTTATACCAGAGTCCCCCCTTTGACATCAGAAGCCCCTCTTCAAATCAGGAGCCCCCCTTTCACATCAGAGTCCCTCTTTACATCAGCAGTCCCCTCCACCCCCCATTCATGTTCATGGTGCTGGCAGCCAGCCTACCAGTTTCATGGAAGTGCATGCATGCAAAAAGTTTGAAGCACCCAGGAGGCACCCCAGAGTGCCACGGCGCCCTAGTTGAGAAAGGCTGTTCTATACTATCACATAGGCCAGGGGTAGGCAACCTTAGGATTTGTAGTTTCAACACAGTTGGAGTGCTGAGGTTGCCTACCCCTGATATAGACGGTAAAATTCACCTAAAATGGCCCATGGGCTTACCGGAGTATCCGTAATTAAGAGCTGTCTGTAACTGTTTCAGTGTCTCTCCATCTGTCCCAGACTGAAGGATGTTCAATGCAGAGGAAGCGCCATAAGGTGAGAACCCCAAATTCTTATCTTTGTGTTCCCGCAGAATTTCTTGGAATAAACGAACGCCAAAGCCGGCATTCTTCTGGGCCACGCTATTCAGGGTGGTTGGACGTAGAGCTGCCACCGTCCACGACAGGAGGGTGAGTGCCAATAGGCTGTAAAAGGACACAGAAAGAAATATAAAGATACCTTAAATTT